CGCGAAAATTCAAAACAAAACAAAACATTTATTAGACACTCTCTAACTAGCCATATATTACGATCTACGAAAGTCGCACACACATATATATATATATATATACTGAATTTTTCGATGAATATAGATCGTCACATAAATGAGGTGATTGCCGATACTTTTCTTAAGGATATTTTGCCTTTACATTACACATTAAATTACCTTAGGTAGATAACAACATTAGCAGAGACCCACAAAACTTGACTGCAAAAGCACTTCTTTAAATACAGGATTTTTTAGAATAATACAAAATAATTCTAACTGCAGACACCGAAACCTACAGGTCCACCTGTCTTAGACCTAACATTAATTAAGCCTTTATTAAGTACGGCCTATATTTGATAAAGATATAAATTAACACTGTAGCTTGTCTACGTTTTTTTGTTTCAGTTTAGTCAGGGCTAAACTTTATCGTACTTAATCCAATCAATAAATAAACTTATAATGCTATTCTACGATTTAACGTTAGATCTTTTTAAGAACTTTGGTAAGCTTTTAATATGTTGTACAAAACGTCTAGTAAAGTATATTTACATCCACCTTTTGTTTGCGTCCGTTGAAATGAAGTGCGCACGCATGCGCATTTAGATAGTAAGGTATGCACGCATTTTCAGGACAGACAAAAATTGAATATTATCATAATAGGTAGTACAGACCTCAAATAGTTTTAACTTTTTTGTTACAAATTTTAAACATTGACTCGTGATGTTTATAAAAACCAAGTTATTAATACACCGTACACACTAAGGCTGTTTTCGGGTAAGGAGAAGTATCCAGTAGTAAAAAATATAAAGAATTTCGGATAGGTTCGTCAAAATGTACATCTTAAATTCATAAGAAGTAAGTATTCCAATTATAAGAGGAATAATTGCTTATTTTTTAAAAAACATTACTAACACCTTTTATCTTCAACATTGAATACTCACATCAGTCTACTCCTACCCTTTGAACCATCTTTCATGGTTATCCGATTATGTGTTGTTATTTTCTGGAGAGTATATTACTCGTAGTTTCTTATTGCTGTTAGTTTATTTTATACCTCTGGAAACTACTATATATATAAGATATTGGTGTAATTTTTTTTTAAATAACACTCATATCATAATCTACTGAAATGAAGGTAAATATTATCGCAAGATAGATTTCTTCCGTTAATTTTCTTTTTTTTTGTTTTTTTTTTTTTTTAGGTATGAAAGCGAGTGTATAGAAAGACTTGGATGGATGTACATGTATTACCGGCGACGAGGTATTCCAAATGAAGGACCACAGTGGGGACCAGTGGCTGTCCCACATCACTGCACGTGCAAAATAACCCCAAAATTCTTTCCTAATTTTTAAAAACTCGACTAGTAGATAGTCAGAACCAATGGTCGTAATATAAGCGTGAGTGTTGTGGTGACTCATCTCTGATATGTCTACTCAGAATCCTGCTGTCTGTTTGTTTCCAATGATAAGCACCAGTAGACATTGTGAGAAATATTTTACAGAGACAGTCAAGAATTACGTATATATATATGTGTGTGTGTGTGTTATATAAAGTAAACATACATTTCCCTTTCTGATATTCATTTTCTATTTTAAATTGTTTAATATTTAGTGTAAAACAATATTAGTAGATGGCAGCACTAAACAATATCTTGTTATTGATGAACCCTGTCAATTTATAAAAGGAAAATAAAAAATAACGGAACTCAATAATATAGTAATAAGAAAACAATATAAAAATATTCTGAGCAATAGTTATTAAAAATCCTTGTATTTCATGCCTATCAAGTTGTTTACGTTTAACCTGAATTTTAATTTGAAAAATACATGTTTTGCCTGTGTGTATGTTACTATGTAATATTTAATAATAGCATAAGTGAAAACCGAGAGTGACTTTTTTTGTTGTTGTAAAATTTATCAACTCACACATATAGATTAATCGATAAGTGAAAAATATAATAAATATATGAATTAATAATAATAACATTAGTAAAACATTTAGTATTACGGAAAGAGCCCCTTCAAGATGGTTAGCGATAAGCGTAATGATTGCTTATAACACTAAAATCGTGATTCGGTACCCGTGTTGGGATAGCACAGACAGTCCACTTTTTAGCATTGTGCTTAAACACAAACAAACAATTTATAGAAAGAAAAACAATACGTTTGAAGCTCAGTAAATATAAATTTAAGGAAGTTTGCACTTCTAACATTTACATACATTTACTAACTTATATAATTTAATTAATTTACATAACATTTACTAACTTATATAATTTAATTAAGTAATAACGATGCCTTCCAATAAGCTAAAAATACCGGTGGCTAAAACAAAGAGTAAAGTAAAATTATGAAAATATTGTCTGAAGTCTTGATTTAGTGGTACATTAATATTGTACTTAAATTTTTAGAGTTTAAAATGTGAACTTACGATCTTATTGGATGGCGATATTTTATTTTTTAACACAATATTATATACTAAAAGTATAAAATAAGTTATCCTTTATTTAAACATTACTTAACATCATGTTTTGTAGTTGAATGGTGCAACATTGCGTCAACACACTTCACATATGACGTAATTTTACCATACTCTTTCAAATCATGGACCTATTTGTGAATGTTATTTTCAGAGAAAGCCTCCTAAAATAAATGTATGTTATTGTTATGTAGTAGGATTTAAGGAGAACTTTTCCAAATAAGTTTTACATACCAAACATTGTGAAGGATGTAGAATACTTACGATCACAGCCCCCCCCAAGTGGCACAGCGGTATGTCTGCGAACCTACAACGCTAGAAACCGGGTTTCGATACCCGTGGTGGGCAGAGCACAGATAGCCCATTGTGTACATTTGTGCTTAACTTCAAACAAAGAAACTTACGATCACAACTCCATACTATTTTTTTGTTGTTCTAATTACGAAGTTTTTTAAGACAGACTGGGGGGGGGGCGGAGAACCCTTATAAACAAAGAGTCAAAATGTCTACGAGGAATACATCATTCTTGTCCTTTGATTGTTTGTTTGTTTGTTTTGTGTAGTTATTTCACAATCAGGTTTGGGGAAGCTCTTATAAAGAAATATTATGTACAGATAGTTGAGACTTTGTTTGTTTGTAATTTCTAGTCTTACACTGCTAATTAGGGACGGCTAGCGCAGATAGCCCTCGTGTAGCTTTGCGCGAGGGAAGGCAGCTAGTCATCACCACCCACCGCCAACTCTTGGGCTACTCTTTTACCAACGAATAGTGGGATTGACCGTCACATTATAACGCCCCCACGGCTGAAAGGGCTAATTAATTTGAGTCAATTAACTTGACTTTTTTATTTTTTGCTGTTAAGCACAAACTACACAATGGGGTGTCCGTGTTCTGCTCACCGCGGGTATCGAAACTCAATTCTTTAGTCAACAGACTTTCCACTGAGCCACTGGGGGGGGGTCAACCATCTTGAAAGAAAAGTATGTGTGGATATGAAAAATTGAATGAAGATTAATTCATAACTAAATCGAAAATAAGCTAGACGTTTGCATAAACAGCAAAAACGTTATTTGGGGTTCAGATAACATGAATGAATATTAGCATTCGGAATAAAAAATGATGGAAACATTAATGAACCTTCTGCGAATATCACACTTTCATCTTGACCTAACTTGAAAGACTAGAGTTACGATAGTAATATTTAGATTATATAGGAAATTAATCAAACTTTGATTAGAATGTCCGTAATATTAAAACCGTGGATTACAACTCTTCATCTGCAACAATGTGAACATATTATACACAAACAGGGAGACTCATAAATTAGATGACTGTATCACTATTACAGTAGTTCTTTTTAATCCTTTTATGATTCTAAAGTTCCTCCTTGTTGTCTTTAAGCTTTACCGATCTAATTAGAAAGCAGACCAAACAATTACTTAGTTTTCTGCATTGACTTTAAAGTGTCGCATTATTTTTTCAAATCAATCAACACTTGTTCAACATTTAAAGCAGAAATTTATACTTTTCCCCTCCTTCCCTGCAGTTCAGCAGTAGGCTTGGGGGCTTAAAACAGTGGTACCCGCGCAGATAGCCCAAGGCGCTTAAAAACCGGTTCTTAATTATTAAATAAAGGTTGAAGGTTCATTGTAATAAAACCTTCATTTTTTGTTGCCGATCAGGGGTCGTAGTTGACTGCAACAAGCATCCGTTGTTAACTGCTGAGAAAATATAAAGATTGTCTGCATCAAAATTTCTGTTATTTTTTCATGACGAAAAAATGAATGTTGAATACAATAAACTTCAGTTGTTATATGCTGAAAAGGGGTTAAGTATTGAGTGCAACAAGATTTCCGCATTAGAAGCTGAACAAGTATTTCTTGATCTCAATAAAACTTTCGTCTGAAATGATAAACAAGTGTCTGTTAATAACAATAAAACTTCCACTTCAAATACTGATTAATTTTTGTTGATTACAATAAAACTTCCTCTTTAACTTCTGAAAAGTTTATGTTTGTTTTGTATAAGCGCCAAGCTGAACTGTTCAGACAGTATCATACTAACATAGTGCCTGTCATACCGCTCCCAGGAGTAGTGTGGTGATTGCATTTCTATCTTCCAGGACAGAAATTCCACAGGACAAACATGTAAAAATTGCAGTTTTAGGTGGTAAAGGTTGCCCTATGCAACATATTAAGACGGAATTTTATGTTTCATTGGGAATTGTATAGAACCTCTGAAGAGGTTACGTGAAATTATTATTGTTGTACACTGAGTGGTCACAAGTAAAAAGACACCTAATTTTTCGTCATTTAACTGATTTATGCTAACTAATTTGTGTTCACAGAGCAC